TTACAGATGATTGGAGTAGCTAAACTTCATCATGGTCTTTTCTATCTGAATAACAATTATAGTATGAGTGTATCAGATTCAATAGAATTTTCTTCAAGCTCTGTCTTTACCAATTTTACAAATTCTTGTAATTTGTGGCATCTCAAACATGACCATCCTTCTAATAAAATTCTGATATCCCTTCATCCCATATTAGTGTCTGTGAAGCATGTGCTTATGCAAAGCAAAAACGTTTACCTTACATGGCTAGCATAACTAAATCAAATCATTTTTTTGAACTCATTTACATTGACATATGAGGACCTCTTTCCAATACTTCTCTTGATGAATATAAGTATTTTTTTACCATTGTGGATGACTACAACCGTTTCACATGGATTCTTTTACTTAAAACAAAAATCTGATGTTCGACATGCTTTTCAAAACTTTATCATTCTCATTGAAAATCAATTTTCCTACAAGCTTAAGAGAATTAGATCAAATAATGGAAAAGAATTTCTTCTCAATAAATTTTATAATTCCAAAGGCATACTTCATGAAACTACTTGTGTAACCTCTCCTCAACAAAATGGTGTTGTTGAGAGAAAACACCAACACCTTTTAAACGTGTATAGAGCCTTTCTCTTTCAATCAAACTTACCTAACATTTTTTGGTCATACTCCCTCAAACTTGCAATGCATGTTATTAATCGCCTTCCTACACCTTTTCTGTCAAATAAATCCCCATATGAACTTGTTTATTCTACCAAACCTGATTTCTCAAATCTTAAAGTTTTTGGATATTTATCATATGCTAGCTCTCTTGCTGTTGCACGGACAAAATTGGATTCTAGAAGCACAAAATGTGTTTTTCTTGGTTTTAAAACTGGAACCAAAGACTATGTCTTATATAATATTTAATCCAAATCCATTATTGTTTCTAGGCATGTCATTTTTCATGAATTAATCTTCCCTTTTGCATCCAACTCACCCACTGACTCTTTTGCTATCACTGACTTCTATTCATCCAAAAGTGGCGTGTTTGATTTTTCTTGTTCGACTTTACCTGTCACAAATTCTGAACAAAGTACTGTGGTTCCTTCTATTATTTCTTATACATCTCAGACTACAATTCAAACCACTAGATCTTCCACTCGTCCCAAAACCAGACCTAAATATATTGACAGTTATTATTGTGGTTCTGCTTCTAATTCTAATTCTGTTTCTAATTGCTCTTTCTCCACTTTTTTTCCTATCCATAATTACATTTCTTATAACAACTGTTCTCCTAGTCACATTTCTTTTTGTCACAATATTTATGTCCAAGATGCTCCCTCTTCTTAACAAGAAGCTGCTCAAAGTGACTGCTGAATTAAATGCTCTACAGCAAAACCAAACCTGGACATTGATGGCTCTTCCTCTTGGTAAGAAAATCATTGGTTGCATATGGGTTTATAGGTTCAAACACAAAGCAGATGGTTTTGTAGAAAGACTTAAAGCTCACCTTATTGCCAAGGGTTTCACACAAACTGAAGGCATTGACTACTTTGAAACTTTCTCTCCTATTGTTAAACTTCCCACTGTTCGCATCATTCTCACTCTTGCTGCTGCTAATCATTGGTTTATACATCAATTAGATGTTGACAATGCCTTCTTACATGGTGACTTACATGAAGAAATCTAGATGAAACCTCCGTCTGGGCTTGATCTTCCTCATTCTAAGTATGTTTGCAAGCTTCACAAGTCCCTTTACGGGCTCAAACAAGCTAGCCGCAATTGGAATCAACGTTAAACCACTGAGTTGTTGCACTTGGGGTACTTACAAAGTATTGTCGATTATTCCTTATTTGTTAAAGTTTCGGACTCCACTACTACTATCCTTCTCGTTTATGTTGATGATATAGTGCTCACAGGTAATAACATATCTGAGATTCAATTGGTTAAATCTCATCTTCATGAGAGATTTCGTATCAAGGATCTTGGTCCTCTACGATATTTCTTGGGTTTCGAAGTCATTCGATCTTCTTCTGGTCTTGTCCTAAATCAAAGAAAATATTGTCTTGACCTTCTTATTGAGGTCGGTCTTCTCGGTTGCAAACCGGCTTCAACCCTTTATGATCCTTCTATTAAATTGCATGCTAATGAAGGATCACTGCTGGCTAACCCTTCTCCTTATAGACGTCTCATTGGCAGATTGTTGTACCTCACGCATACCAGACCCGATATTTGCTTCACTGTTCAGCAGTTGAGTCAATTAGTTTCTGTTAAGATTCCAACATAAAACCAATTGACAATATGTGGAGTAACCTAACATGTATTTAAACCATACCAAATGATATGAGGTAGGCGATGTGGGACTTTCAACACACCCCCTCCAACGAAGCCCGCCGGACCAGGCAAAGGGTACTTTTGACCCAACTAAAAGACAACTTTTGGCTAATGATAATAACCGAAAAGATGTTAAGTTTTGGCTCTGATACCATGTTAAGGTTCCAACATAAAACCAATTGGCAATATGTGGAGTAGCTTAACATGTATTTAAACCATACCAAATGATATGAGGTAGGCGATGTGGGACTTTCAACAGTTTCCTCACCCCGTGAACCACACATGCAACAAGCTCTTCGTATTTTACGTTACTTAAAAAATGCTCCCGGCTATGGTCTCTTATATTCTTCCAACACTGATTTCAAAATACAGGCTTTCACAGATTCTGACTGGGCTACCTGTGCTACTACTCGTCGATCTGTTTATGGATTTTGCATTTTCATTGGCACCTCTTTTTAGTGGCTTGGAAATCTAAGAAACAGACTATCATTGCTCGTTCTTCATCTAAAGCAAAATATTGCGCTTTGGCTACTTTGACTTGTGAATTACAGTGACTTCAATTTCTCTTTAAAGATCTTCAATCTCATATTTCCACACCCACCTTACATTACCTATTGTGATAGCAATTCTACCATTCAAATCGCTAAAAACCCCACCTTCCATGAGCGCACCAAACATATGGAGATTGATTGTCATATTATGCGGCAAAAGCTTGTTGATGGTCTGATTCACCTTCTCCATATTCCCTCTGTTAATCAATTAGCGGACGTCTTCACCAAGTCCTTACACACCTCTCCTTTTAAAATCGCCATTTCCAAGCTTGGTCTTGTGAATCCCTACACTCAACTTGAGGGAGGATGATAGTGTTATACACTGCACCGCTTTTCTCTCCAACCTGTTTTCTTTCTGTTTTAAGCCTGAATATTGTTATATATTCGTTGTTTCTCATCTGTTATTTGTAACGAGTTACTAAAGGTGAATAATATTGATACTTTTTCTCTCTTTCTCCATGTGTTCGTTTTACTCACACATCCTAATGAGAATGATGGATGATGCATATTGTAGACCCCAAATCTTGCCCGACCTCAAAATAAAGAGCAGAAGACTTCCATTCGAAGATGGACAAGGCTTAAAAGGTCCCTAGGATAGATCAATAAGTCTCATTTTAGAATAGGAAGTTTTTTGTACGGGAAAAATAAGAAATTCTACCTAAAGGACCGAGACCGCTGTCTCGTTTGGCAAGACCGCCGTCTCACCATCGATTAAGGGTGAGACCGCCGTCTCGCCAATCGCCAATAGCGAGACCGCCATCTCGTTTGGCGAGTTTGGCGAGACGGTCTTCTCGCCATTTGCCGAGGGCGAGACTGCCGTCCCGTTTGGCGAGATGGCAGTCCCGACCTGACAGGCGTAAATTTCTATAAAAAGGGGAGACAACCTCATCCTTTTCACAACACAGAAAAACTTTTCCTTCTATAATTTTCTCAAATTATTTTCCTAAGATCCCTCCAAAGCATTTCCGGAGTTTCTTGGTATTCTTAGTAAGCGTCCTATAGTGTTGCGAGAAAGAGCGATCATCACTGTAGAATGTGGAGGTTGCCAAAAAACACCTTTTCTTTACCAAAAATATTAATACAAAGCTTGTTTCGAAGGTTCCTACATTTCCTATCTTCTTTTACCGCTTTCTTATTACATCTATATGTGCATTAGCTGTTAGAGCCATGTAGTCAACAATTTAAATTCCGCAAATGAATAAATAAGGGTAAAAGCTTAATTTTAGAGTTTTTTATTTATAAAATAAACGGTTCATCATAGGAAACCTGAAAGGGGCGTCGTAGGGAAATTAATATCTTCCCTACACATAACTAACTCCCTTACCCAACTCTGGTTATAATGGCCAAAGTTGATTTTTCTAAACCAATGCCTTCTTTTTCTTCTTTTTCCAATGTTTCCGGATAAAACATTGGTGGCGACTCCAGAACCCTTTTTCAAAAACCTCGTCTTTAGGTCCAGCCCGATTATCGAACAACCTAAAGGTATCGTACCACACTTTTGAAAACGCGAATTGAAGCAAAACCATCGCGTCACTCAAACCGCCTCTTTTGACGGCGGCGACACATATATACTTGATCTTAATATACATATAATAGTGCAATCCTCAAATTAAAAGTGTTAGGTACGACAATTTTTAAATTAATTGCAATAGAAATACCACAATGAATATGTAATGAGCCATTCAATAAATTGTTTAATTTCCAAGTTATTGAAAGAAAAATGTTCAATTATACTCAAATTACTTCTCCATACGAGAGTAGAGAAAATTAAAAAGAAAAAGTAATAGATGGAGGCAGAACTAAGGGGTAACTTATCTTTTTCTACTTATAACATTATATGTTTGGAAAAAGAGGATATGAAAGTATCTTTTTCCAACATTATATTCCCCATACTATTAATAGTGATTTAAGACAAGACTCTAGTTTCCAAAATGGGATACATTTTACCATCTAATTTGTTATAGACATATAGGGTGATGAAAAAAAAGAGTACTAAGTTGATTTATTTTATGTAAGTGAATCCTACACAGTTAACTTAGAAGGAAACACAAAATAAACAAAAGTATTACTCCAATTAGTATAAATCATCAATTTGATACTAGAATTCAGGTATCAAAGTTCAATTCCTGACTATTAACCCAATTACAGTTCTGAGTCTCTTGTTCTATGCAATGTTACAACAGCATAAGAGTTCAAACCTGAACACACCCATCCATGACAGTTTCCACGCATCACTACCCTTCTCCTCTGCTCATCAAAATGCACATGAACAACTCCACTTCTATGTGATGCCTGCTCAAAAGTAACCCACAAATTTATAATGACAGATAAAAATAATATACCAATGAGTGAAGATAAAAGAGTACCGCATAAACACTGAGATGACATTTCCCCAGCTTTTTGGCCCAGTAAGGTGCCAAGGCACATTGTGCGCTTCCAGTGATTGGATCCTGAAGCAAATCAACAAATGATTCCTTAGCTAATTCTTTACGATAGAAGAAAAGGTTGGAACAAACCTTTCTAATACGCTAAAAACACATAATTTTTCAATTTACTCATGTAAAACGCTACTTTTTAGTTTGCTAAGTAAGCTACATATCCATCAGATTCCAAATGAGAGAAAAAGAGAAAATGACAATTAGTAACTTGAGTATAAGTATGCAGTCCCTGACTATTGGTTTTCAGTAGTATGGCTCTAGTAATCTTACTAGATGCATTGGATGTTAATCTAATGCATTAGAGATTTGTCAGATACTTGTTAGAAATTTATTACCAAATTTGGGACACATTAGAGATTTTCATTACTTCAGCCACTTAAAAACACAAATTAGCTCGTATAAACATATATATTACCTCATTGATTCCATATTTGGGAAAGAAAGTTCGACAATAATAATCAAATCCAGAATCTGGAGGAGCAACCCCAGTAACCAGGATGCCTCCACCAGGGCATTTTGCTATTGCGCCAATATCTGGCTGTAGTTCTACAACGACTTTTCCTGAAGCAAGTTCAACCTAGGAAACATCATTAGCTTCACCAGTCACACAATATGGAATTTTCACGATTCAACTCCAACATGCCATTCCCCAATATCCATCATGATTAATTAATACGTAATATCTTTGAACAGAATATATTACACAAGAGAATAACATAGCAGACATAAACCAATGAGCGTGTTTGATGGTGCCAGAAAACAAAACAGATACAAGGAATTACCAAGAGGTTATCTTGAACGGTTGTTCTCTTTACATCAATAATATGGGCACCATTCAAAGCGGCCGAAATTTGTGAAAGGTCAGCACAATTGAACTCAGCAACTGTATCAGCAGGGAAATCCAATTCAACGAAAAATCCGTCATCCGAGGCACCTGATTCATTGATCCCTGGAACCTTTCTGGCAGTTAGAACTCCAGACAGAGTTGAAAATTCAATAACATTGGACTTCACCAAATCACAAGAGAAAAGAACATGTGCAGATGCTAACGTGGCATGGCCGCAAAGTTCAACCTGGGAAGACAAGGCACTTGGAATATGAATATAATTTACACAAAAGAAAAGGAACTGAATATGAAACGTAAATTCACCTCTGTAGCAGGAGTGAACCATCTAAGGTGGAAACGATCAGTTGAGGACCCATTGAACGAGTAATCAGATCTCTCCGAGTCGGCAATCCGAGTCAAGTAGCATGTCTCAGAGAGATTGAACTCAGTTGCTAGGCTTTGCATCCATGTTTCCTCCCTCTCTTCCTCTAACAAACACACTGCTGCAGGGTTCCCCTTGAACGCCGAGTCGGTGAACGCGTCCACCTGGATGTTAATCCAGACATTAAGGCCACAAGCTTGTTCATAATAGCATAGTAAGAAGAAAAAGTTAACACAATTCGTGAACAAACATATACCACAAAGTATTTGACAGGCTTCTTTGCCATAGAGGACACACGACACGACGCAGAAGGGTTGTCTACTAAACTCCGAACTATTAAAACTTCTCAAATCAAGGCTTTTACACAGTCAAGATCCGAACGAGTTCGATTGGTCGTATTTATATTTTGCTAAGGAGTGATTTGAGCTGACTCAGTGGATGCGTGCGTCCACCTGTTGTAACAGGGGGAAAATTTATCCAGAGAAGCAAGAGACTCACCAGTTTAAAGGGTAGACTTTTCTGAAGCATATCTGATAAAAACAAGCTCAATTCTATCGTAAAACAGAATATTTGTTGTTAATTGAAAATTTTCAGCCTACATTAATATTTTTTGTAAGTTTTTTTATCTTGTGTGAAAGTTTAGTTTTTTTTTTTTTTTCAGAATTTTTTTATCAGAATTTTTTTTTTCATCCTAATATTTGTGTATCCAATTAAAAGTTTTCTCAACTCATGTACTGAACATTTTATACAGGAGGCAACGTAACTACAAAGGACACGCGACCCAGAAATATTTTGTCAGGCTGCTAAAAAACATTTTGGGACTTGGATTGCGCATGTTTACAAAATTCAACAAGATGGAAATCTAATATGGTAATATTAGCATGCATTTACTTGTGTGCTTAAATTTACAAAATAGAAAGTCCTATCATAAGATTTATTTCAAAGCATTTCTTCATCATATGTTCTGTGTGCAATATAGTCTCTAGACGCGGCTAACAACAATGCATAGCATTGATCAGTATTTTTGATTTCACGGTGGAATATCCGGTTACTAAACCAAAGACTGACCATTTTATTGTACCCAGCAAATGCGATAACTAAACTGCACAAACACAATCAGCTTTGTGTAACTGTATCAAATAAAGATTTCCTGGGATAAAGCATAATAACAATTCAGTGCTCCAATTTCATTTCTGGTTACATAATCTGAAATGCTAGAAACAGATCTAGACAAGAACACAGCCTTCCATCACAGTAACTGCTTTCCCACGCAAAAGCACTCTTTGGTTCTGCTCATCTAAATGAATATTGAAAATTTCTCCTCTGGATGATGCCTGCTCAAAGTGCAATAATCTACAGATTAGTATGACAATGAGACAGATAATCCTAATAAGTGAAAGGAGAGTACCTGATAAGCATTCAAATCATATTTCCCCAGCTTCTTGCTCCAGTAGGATGCTAAGGAACAATGTGCAGTCCCGCAAGCAGGATCCTGAAAGGAAATACGAGTAACATTATCTCATGTATTCTATTTTTGATAAAATGGAGTTTAATGAAGATTGCTTACGCTTTTGATATCTTTCCCATTCCACTAAGTGACCTAACTGTGGACCTTGTAAAACTGCTTTGCACATAAAATAGTATGTACCTTGATCCGAAGTTCCGTTGTTTACTTAAATGAAGTGAAATGTTTGTATTATAAAACTAGATCCCAGATCTTCTACATGATATAGCATTAGGGTAAAACAATTGGAAATAGACCTGTTTTAACAGATTATGCAGTTCAAAAATTGCATCACTATCAGATAGTTAAAAATCAACCTATACTTTACCTTACTTAGACCTGCTGTCTACATTTACTGCACAATAATTAAGCAGAACTTACAAATGCAAGTAGAGGAATATAATATAATAATCATAATATCTCAGCCACTAACCTCATTGATTCCAAATTTTGGGCAGAAGAATCTACTGTAGAAGTAAAATCCAGATCCCGGAGGAGCAATCGCTGGAACAATTATTCCCCTTCCAGGACACTTAGCTATTGCATCGAGCTGTGGCTTTACTTCTGTGACATTTACCCCAGATGCGACAACAACCTAGGAAATTAAATAAGCCTCATAATGTGCAATGCTCACAAATCAAAGCACACACTAGCTATTTTGCAGAGAAAATTAACATGAGATACGTAATACATTTTTTCTTCATTAATCCACCAGAACGGCAGATAGTATGAATGTGCATCTAAATATAATGATGAAAATATGGTATTCCTCATACACCGGGCACGCAAGGATATGCTGTTTCCTGGGGAATATTTATCGTGTGTATAGTAAATAATAAATATCGAAGCGAGCAGATTTAGGAATTACAAGTATGTCATCCGCAACTTGTGTCCTTCGTATATCGATTACAGAAGCACCACTCAATGCTCCAGAAACTTGTGAAGTTTCATCAATGTTAAAATCTGTTACAGGATCAGCAGGAAAATCCAATTCAATATAAAATCCATCCTCAGTTTCACCATTTTGCAAGTTTGAGGTACTGGAGATATTGACTGCTGGGATTCTTTTGGCAGTTAATAGTCCAGATAGCGTTACAAATTCAATAATATTGGTATCCACTAAACCAGATGAAAAGAGTGTGTGTGCAGCAGCTAATGTGGCATGGCCACAAAGTTTAACCTGCACAAGGGTGGTCCAGATAATGTTACTAATGGTTCCACTCAAGAATTTGTAGGTGATGAGTGTAATTCTAAGAACCATGCTTCATTCTTAAAAAGGCATCATCATCAATAACTGTTGGAGTAACAACGTTACAGAACCGAGCTTAAATAGAAACTATTGAAAAATAATCCACATTATGGAAAAAGCTAACTACAACCGTGAGTATATTTTACCATCTATTCCTATATGAAATATAACTATGAGGTTGAAAAAAGGTGTCAAAAGAATGAAAATAGAAGCTCTTAAGAAAAATAAATGCAGCATTATCTTTATCTAAAACAAACTCAGATTACTGTTATGATAGAAGGTCCTAATAAATCCTTCAAAACTGTTGAAATTGCTACAAATTTCTATATTTGTTGTAGCTGCACGTGGATAAGACTTCATGAAGGTTTTACACAAATGAAAGTTACAGTAATTGAAGAAATGTAGTTATTAGTGTAGAAAACACCAAAATGATGTAAACATATTTCTTCTAACAGTTTTCTATTTCACCTTTCTTTTGATAAACCCACCTTTCTCTGACCAACAACTAATCCATCTCTTTTATTCCTTAAATATTCTAACAAAAGCATTTCTTTCATCCAAGTTCTGAATATAGGGAAAAAGAAAAATGAGCACCAAATTAGTCTTACACACATATACACTCATCCACTGGAGAAAACCGACCTCAGTAATAGGAGTAAACCATCTGAGGCGAAAACGGGGATTAGAGGTGTCATTGAGCGAGTCAAGAGGGTTATCAAACAAGTCTGAGCGATGTTGAACTCCGCGGCTACAGCTTGCAACCAGTGGTGGTTCCTCTCTTCATCCTGCTCTAAGAAACACACTGCCGGAGGGTGTCCTTTGAATGGTAACTCAGTGAATGCGTCCACCTGTTTATAGACTGAGACATTTGATTTGACCTCATAACCCAATTCACAACAACACAGTAATAACAATTAACCAAGAAAAAACAAAAACACTTCACACACCAACGTACCACAGTATTTGACAGGTGTTTTTGCCATCTAGAAGACACGCAGCACAAGAGAACTTGATAGAATTTCTAGTGCAGAAGAGGAAAAAGAAGGCGAAACGGGGTCCCAGTTCTGTAGTCTGAACTGTTAAACTGGTCCACACTCTGGCAGCCACCGAAAAAAAAAAAAAAAAAAAAAAAAAAAAATATATATATATATATATATATATATATATATATATATATATATATATATATATAGAGAGTAGGTAGGAAAATAAGTCCTCCTTTTATGATATAATTTGTCCAAACGTAAAATATTTTTTTTATTATAATTATTATATATATAGTTAGATTTAATATAATGAAAATATTTTTTCTAATTTTATATAATATTAATTATTAAGTTAAGTTTTTAATTGTAATTATTAAAAATAAATTAGTTTTATATCATGAATATTACTAAATAATATATATTAATATTTATACTTACAACTATATAAATTTTTGAATTTATAAAAAACTATAAATGATAATAAATATTTATAATTAGAATCATCAAATTCTTGTCAATATCTTTTAAATAATATATAATAAATTATTTTTATATATATTTTTGGATAATACTTAAATTTACATAAATTAATTGATAATTAAAATTTTAATAAAATGATTAATAATATATAAAAATCTAAAAAAATTATTTGTATTAAGTATTAATATTTCTCGCCATTATTATAGAAAAAATATATTTTACCTTTCTTTAAATTACTTAATTTAAGTCCGTGTAAAATGCTTTTGGATTTTTTTTCAGAAATAATATTTTTAAAAGAAAATTTCACGAATAGATCTTTGATTATTTTATTTTATCGAAATATATCTATTTATTCAGAATTGGATCATGAATAATCGAATTTCGGCTTCCAATGTGTACCGAAATTTACTCAAAATTTGATTCTAGATAAACGAATTCTAACCTAATTTTTTGTTTTTCTTTTTAATGTGAGTATATATATATATATATATATTGAATCTAAATTAAATTTATTACTTCATATTAAATTATTTTATTGTGAAATAGATAAAAAAAAAGTAAAAAGACAAGTAAATTAAAAAAAAGTAAATAAATTATTCACAAGGTTAAATTTTTTTCATTAATTATTTTTAAAAAAGAAAGAATTATATTATAAAATATTGATATAAGTAAGTAAATAGAACTTTAATAAAATTTGGAAATTATTTATATTTATTTAACATTTTTTTAAATTAGTATGAATATATTTATGCTACTTTAATTTATAAAATAATAAAAAATATATAAATCAAAATTTTATTTATTAAAATATTATGAATATGACACATGAAATTTTTCTATAGACAAATAATATTAGGTTTTTTTTAGGTGTGTGGTAGTACGATTTGATATTTTTTTAATGTTCATTTATATTTATATTTTTGAATTTTTTATTATGAGTAAGGAGAAAAATAATCTTAATTCTTTTATTTTATTTAAAAAATTCATCCTAAATTTTAAAAATTTGTTTAAAGTTTAAATATAACTAATTTAGTTTACAAAATTATGATATATGTATTTGGAGGTACATCAGGCTTCTGAAATTTATTATAATCACACGATTTATCTTGTTAAGAATTAGAATTGTCAAAACTAGATGGTTTGGCTCATGCTCACCTAACCTTATGATTTAAATAAAAAAATTGATAATTCAATAATTAGGGTGAATTTTGTCTTGTTAAGTATATGAAATTTGAAGGGTTATTGGGTATAATCCATTTGTTTATTTTTTTATTATAAATACTTATGTAATTGTAAACCTAATCAAGTGAATGAGAATTACTAGCTAGTACAAGGTGGACGTAGGTAATTTTGACTGAACAACATAAATTTCTTGTATTTTTGTTATTTACTTTCGTTATGTAGTGCATTTGTATTCCCCCAGTAATTGGTATCTGTTAGAAAAGAAGGCTGAGATCAAGAGGGGGGGTGAATTGATCTTTGAAAGATTTTCACAATTAACAGATTATCTATTTGTAAAAATAAGATTCCAGATCTGTTCTTGAATCACAAAGCAATCAATCAACAATAAACGCAGTAAATGAATTAAAAGAGGAGAAAGGTTTAGAAAGATATCACCGGTGTTTATACTGGTTCACCCAATACCAGGGCTACGTCCAGTCTCCAGCCAAATTCCAGCTGGGTTCCACTAGATCAAATGTTTTACAGATTACAATCTTACACTTAATCTACCACAAGAACCACAATTCCAGTTCCTGCACCTAACCTTTCACCAAGAACCAAATTCCAGTTCTTGACAACCTCTACAACCAAATTCCAGCAGTTTTATGCAATTCTGCAGTAAGTGTTTCTTCTCCAAAAGAAAGCAATTTGCCTCAAGAAAGAATTTCAAAGAACTTCACAAAAACTAGCGCGAATCTTTCTTGAAAGAGTATTAAAGTTTGCTTGCTTGATTGCTAAAGGATGTGTAAAAGATTGATATTCGATGATGTTTAAAAAGTTCAAGCCAATCTGTTTTTATAGAAGATTTTCAAAACTGCTGGTTTAATCAATCTGTTAAAATAATCTTTTAATTTGTTAAAAGTGTAGTTTTAATCTGTTAAAACTTCTTTTAATACATTAAAACGTTCTTGATTCTTTAACAGATTTGTTTTAACTGATACGACAACGTTTATATCAATTAAAACTCTTTACAAAAAATCTTCTAATTTGTTTTAATCGATTGTTTCGTGATTCAATCGATTAAAATACTGCAAAACTTTCTTGTAAAAATTTCCAAGTGATTTTAACTGATAAAAATAAGTTTTAATCGATTAAAACGCTGTGTAGAAATTTTCTAAGTTGTTTTAATTGATTGAAACATGTTTTAATTGATTGAAAAAGTTCTGATCGGTCATAACTCAATTCTGATCGATCATATCTTATTCTGATCGGTCATAATTGCATTCTGATCGATCATCCTAAACACTAAGTGAATTTAATCGATTAAAACCAAGTTGTATCAATTAAAATACTGCAAAAACGCATCTCTTAACATTTTAAGTGATTTTAATCGGTTATTTTGAAGCTTTATCAGTTAAAAACTTGTTTAAGAAAGCTTTTGTTAAAATACTTTGTTTTTAACTGCTTAAACGTTTTTAGAGGCATTTTGCAAAATCTTTTAAGTGAAGAAACCCCATGCAGCAGAAAAGATAAAAATGATTATACCTAAGCATAGCTGCGGACACACTAATCTCTCTATTCTTTTATCTAAGTGACTGTTGACCACTACAAAGTTGACTTTGACTTTATCTTTGACTTCATCAAATCAATAAGATCTTTGCCAGAGTATTTCAATAAGATCTTCATCACTTTCAGTATCAGGAGCTTAGGTTTTCATACGAGTAAGAGTAATGTCAGAATATGGGAAGTGAAGATTGATAAGTTCAAAGCAAACAATTTCAATTTTTGGAAGATTATTTCCTTGATTTTTATTTCAATTATTTCCTATTTACATTCCATTATTTTCTAAGTTTTCTGTTTTAGGATGGCTAGTAAATCCCCTATTTTAGTCATATGATTTACCAACATTTGAAAACTATCAGTTGTAGTTTGTACTAAAGGATTTAAAATTGTAGTCATTTATTGAGATAAAGTTTACCATTTTATGATTACTATCATCTATTTATTGTCTTATTACTTCTAACAAGCTATTCGATATTCATGTACTTATATTGTCAACATCGAACTAATTTCTATTAAACTCTCTATCATTCCCAAACCAAACTTGATTCTGACTATAATAATTCTTCCCGTTACCTATATTTTGTCATTCATTATTTTGATTTGTAATATTAGGTGTAACATTGAAAATTAATGCAGAACTAGGTGTAGAACTTTGAGTATTTTAATTTGCTATATTAATTATACCACTTTTCAATATCATACATTGTTCTCATTCAAATTTTTTAAAACTAATCAAAAAAATTCTTCCTACTTGGCATGCCAATTTGTTTCAAATGTAGAACGGATTGTTGTTCAATTACTTCCAGCTTTTCGACACATGTCTCTCTCACGCTTAAATATTTTTTGTGCTAAACCACTTTAATCACTATGTGGATTCATTTTTGTTAGACTAACAAACATAAACCACTTTTCAATTTAGAGCATATGTAGAATTGTCGCCGCCGTTAAAAAGAGAGGCGGTCGGAGCGACGCGATGGTTCCGACTTTCCAATTTTTGCGTTTTTTGTTGGTGGTTACAACGCCTTTAGGTTGTCCGATAACCGGGCTGAACCTAGGGGCGAGGTTTTCGAAAAGGCGCTCTTGGATTGTCCGATAACCGGGCTAATCCAAAAGCTAGTTTTGAAAGGGTTCTGTGGAGTCGCCACCGATGTTTTTACAGGAAACATCGGAAAAGGGATTAAAAGGCGTTGGTTTTTGAAAACCCAACTTTGGTCATTAGAACCAGAGTTGGGTAAGGGAGTTAGTTACATGTAAAGGAAGTATTAGTTCCTTTACGACGCCCCTTTCGGGTTCCCTATGATAGGCCAACTTTATGTAAATGATTAAACCAGAAAAACACGCTTTTGCCCTTTTATTCTGCGGAATTTATAATTACGACTACATGGCCCTAGTATCTATTGCATAATTTAAAACTAAAGCGAAAAAAGTAGAGAGGGAGAATATGAACCTCTGAAGCACGCTTTTGTATTAATTCTTTTAAAAAAAAGGGTGCTTTGTGGCAGCCCTTCACTCTACAGCGCCGGAAAACCTCTCGGAACGCTCGAAAAACACTCTAAAGACACTCAGAAGCTCCGGAAATGCGTCGGAGGGATTCTAGAGAGAGAAACTAGTGATTTTCTAGAGAGAAGGAGGAGAAAGCTCTGTGTGGTGTGTGGAAATGAGGGAAGGGAGCCCCCTATTTAAAGTTTTTCGCGCCTGACAGGTCGAGACCGTCGTCTCGTCTGACAGGGTCGAGACCACTGTCTCGTCAAACAAGACCGCTGTCTCGCCATGCCAAAGTGGCGAGACCGCCG